TTACAGAAAACTTATTTGTACTATGTGCAACATTACCATATCAACATGTTAATTGTGTACCCTAAGGTAGCTAAAAGAGGACATTAATAATATCATGCAAATAATATGTTCTTAAAAGTTATATATTTGTATCTCTATTTAAATTAGATAAAGGCTGTTCAGTCCCTGGAGAACAAGCCTTTTACTTTGAAGTTATGTTTGTATCCACAGACTCAAATCTGAATTTTGCTTTAAAATGCTCAGATCTTGTGGCTGCAAAACTAGCCCTGATCATCATCCCTTCACCACAGTCCAGTGAGGAGTTTGGATAGCTCTACTTCGTTTATGCCAATAATAAGTTAAAGTTATGCCAAGTGGTCCAAGTTTGAAAATTAAACTGTGTGGTGTAATTTTTAGCACATAATTTAAACATAGTTCAGCCTTATTTTTTGTAAATATTGGAGACAGATCAAAGTGTTATGTCCGAAATACTAAAAATCGGTAGTCTTTTTTCACCATTACTATATGTACAGAAATTATCAAACATCAGTGCACTTCTTTAAGTTACAGAAGAAACACCTGCTTAAGCTCTTTACTGCAAAAACATAATCTTGTGATACTTTTGTACTGATATATTTTTACAAGATAAACATAGAGCAGTTAAAATGGAAACAGTAAAACTCTTGTCTAATTTAGAAATAGAGCAGTTAATTCTCAAGACAAGAACAAGAAAAAGCTTGCATTCATTAAGATGGACAGTTTATAAAACTACTTCCAAGAGAGAAAAACAGGAGCAAACTTCACTCAATTTCAAGACCAAAAACATTTTTTTTGGTATTTTTTGGTCTTAAATATCAACACCAACTGGAGAGATTTTACGGGGAATTTTGTTTCACCAGAGAATTTCTTATGCTTGCATGAGACAGATGAGACATTGGCATTGATAAGATGGAATTCCAACATACGTTATCTTTGTCTTCCGCTTCTCTAAAAGTGAAAGTGGTTGTGACATTTTCTTATGAAAACCCAACGTAAGTCTGGAAATATTTAACACCAGCATGTGTTTATCAAAAAATACCAAAGTTTGGGTTATTCCAACAGTGAAAATCTGCCCACACACCTGCATCACCCTTCCTCCTTCATATGCAATGCCACTTTTCTTTTGACTTTCTCCAAAAAAAAGAAAAAAAAGAAAATGGCAATAGAAATGAGTCATAGTTTGAATACTAACATAAAATATAATAGAGAAATGCAGTGAACATTTAGGGGCTTGAGAGGAAAACACATTTTTATGAAGAATGGATAAGTTTGCATCTATAAAATCCTCCTCTGATGTGATTTCCTTTTTAATCAGAATAAATTTATTTTTAACTAAACAAAAAGAATATATCTTCCAAACTAAAACCTCAGCGAGCGTGACACCACAATTTTGAGATCTGTTTCTAGAATGAGAAAAGCCACATTCTGCATGCAGGGTATAGGATTGTGGTTGGAAAGTCCTCCTGAATGTTCTTTTCAGGTTTCTCCATTACAAGAGCACAACTACAAAAGGTTCATTAGTGTTCTGCATCATCAAGGAAATGCCATGCAAATAAGACAAACAGTTTAGCTGTAGATCGCTAAAGCAAAAGAGCAAACCACACGGGAGCCACAAACCGTGAGTGTGAACTGACACAGATCTTTATTTGTTCGTCAACAGATTGCGTGCCAAACAGGTGTCACTGCTTTACCTTTGCCCAGAACACACTAATCTGCAAAGACATACTTATGAGAAAAAAAAAAATTCATCAGAATTAAAGGCAATAACAAATAAACAAGGACATTAACTTCTTCATGGGCGATTTTCTCAAAAAGTAATATAACAAATCATTTAGAAATTAAATGATTTGTTATTTGATTTACAAATAATAAATCATTTAATTTAGTAACACATACAGGTCCTTTCAAAAGTATTCACAGCCATGACTTTTTACACCTTTTGGTTTTGGTTTTAGTTTAGGTTTTCGACACTTTGCAGAACAACCTTTTGCTCCACTTACTGCTTCAAGTCTATTTGGATGCAGCTGCAGTAGCTTTAGGCATCCAGGAAGTGAAGTTTTCTGCCAATTTGTCTGTCAAAAATCACTCAAATTCAGTGATTGATACAGAGTATCTGAGTATCTAATAAGAGACTCTAATAAATAAGAGACTCAGCTCTAGATCAAACATGTTTTGAATATTCAGTGTAGCTTGGTCCGTCTGTTGAAGGGAAATATATTGCTACAAGACCAACAGGTTTCAACAAGATTTCAGGATTGAAAGAAAACCTTATTAATGTCCATCTTCCGATTAACATTAATAAGATTCTCTGTCCCCTACCATTTCTTCCTTTTGGTGATTTTGTGTTCACACTGATTTGAAGTGGTGGGTTTCTGCCTCCTATGCAATAATTTTACATGTAAAGCCAAAATGCTCAAATGCAATCCCTCAACAAACCAGAGTAGAGAACTTTGTTCTACAAATAAACTGTCCTTAGTTCATTTAACAGTGGTTAAAATTATGTCACTGTTTTGAACTGGGCTCCATGAGACACTCAAAGGTATGAATAATGTTTTTTTTAGCTGATCTATCTAACACAGTATTTTAAACTGACCTGTCTGTGTTTCTTAGTCTTCATGGTGCTGTTTGTTTACTAATGTTCTCTAAGAAACCACAGAGGCCTTCGCAGAAGAGCTGTACTGAGAATAAATTACATACTAGATAGAGTATTTAATAATTAAGTCACTTGACTGCACTGGATTCCAGAGTGTCAAGAGTTGAATGCATATGGAGGCCACAATTTTCTTATTTTTAGAACTTTTCTGATATGTTTTCTATTACAGATATTTCCAGTAATATACATCCAACCTGACATAATGTGTAAAAGTCACAAAAAAAAAACTGTACTGGAGTACTTGAATAAAGATCTGGAAGAGTGTCAGAGTTAGGCAGCTGTTGGATGAACAGCCATTGTCATTCCTTATTGGCAATGGTATGTGATATGCTGATTAATGGTAGAGTAGCTTTATATTTTTTAAAGATTATTTTATGCGCATTATTTAGGGGAAAAAACATTTTTTGTCTTGGTTATTATGTTGCTTTCACTATGTTCCTAAAATATGTATATTGTCCTTTAAATGTAATATAGAGCAGAAAATGAAAACTTATGTGATAAACATACGGAATTAAATATGAATAGTATTAGGTTTTCACTCTTAACTGCATGGAGAAAAGCAATTCCTGATTCCTGTTAGTAGATGAGTCAATTGTTTTGGGAATGGCCGTTTGAATAAAGCAACTGCCTATCACATGTGGTTACACCCAAACATTCCCTGCTATGTGTTAAGGCTCACTATAAAAATGTGAGCATTCCCATCTGGAAAAGGTACAAAGAATTCCAGCTCACTGTTCGATGACCTAATTTCCATATTTCAACATTTTTATAACCAGGATGGAATTAAAGCATTACAAAGCTAGTTGATGACCAGACACTTCACAGCACACACCAGAAAGTTTGCAGGCAGACATGCAAAACATTGCTGTTCCAGGAAAAATCTTGCACAATGCGAGAGTGTATGCATGTGCCAGGTTGTGTTGCAACACGTGACAAGTTAGATCACTGTAACCGCTTCCGGCATAAATAACACCACTCATACAAACTGAACATTCAGTTCAGCTTGGTATGAGCAAACATTTGTGAGGTGTTGCTTCATTTTTGTTGTTGTTCAAAGAGCATTCTTTCATGTACCAATCAAACCGGGTCTCAATAAGTGTACTGTATTTATACTGAAATTTCAATCATGTATAATGATGCAAATAATTATTTACATCATTATAATCCACAGATGCAAATAATACAAAAAGTAAAATTGTGTCCATTAATTTGATAGAGAATATAAGTTTTAAAGAAATTTAGAAAACAACAAAGGAAATCCATTTAGAGCCATTGTCTGCATGTCCATTCACTGCACAAGACTCCACTGCTGAAAAAAAACAATGCCGATTCTAATAAAGTTTAATTTGCTGGATTATTCAGTTAAGAGTTATCAAATGTGTACACTTGTGCATTCTTTCTTTTTCTGCAGATGAAGTACGGTGTATCTGCACGTTTCTCTGAATATCACTCGGGCATAAATGTGTCAAAAATGGTTCAAGTTAAGGTTTTGCATCCAACTGATTGAAACCTTCTAAAAGAAAATGTGCACATGAAACCAGACTACAAATCAAACAATCTCTCTCTTCACTGACAGAGAGATTACATTCAAAGTGTGCATTTAGAGACAATGTCACCCATATCAAAAGAATATATGCAAATTATTGTCTAGGTAAAACCCATTCTGTACTTCCTGTTTCTTGAAAGTTACTACAAATAGTAACAGGAGATGGAATTTGAAAGAAATATGCTGTTCTGTCACCTTTATTAAAACAGGAAGGAATGTTACAGAAAGTCAGTCTCCCAGAAATGGGTGTAATCCCATCAAACCCTGGGAAATTATGTTCTGGTTAGGTGAGACAAAAAACTGCTCTGTGTGGATGTCACTGCACACCTAGTTTGAAGTAAAAATGTCGACGCATTTCATATCAACCTATAACCACAGTAAAGTTTAAAGATGGAAGCATCATGGTATGAGGCTGCTTTTTAGTGTGTGGTACTGGATAAATATACTGGCACACTCTTGATAATGAATGTCTCTGTACCGAGTGATCCTCAACACAGCAAAAGAAACTCGAAATTGAGTTGAGAAAAAATAACATAAAATACATAACTGACTAAGTTCATTATTAAACTTGAATCCAATTGAAAATCTTTGGATAACTTTATTTATAGACTGATATGTGTTGATTTCTTTGAATGAGAACGTTATGCGAGTTGTTACAGGCATATTCTGTTAATTTTGTCTCTTTAACCACATTGGATAGATTTACTAAGAAAAATGATGTTTAATGTTTATATTAAAACTCATACGAGGATGGAGTGCTCTGCAGTAAGAAAAGAACAGTAATTTATGATTATGTTATTTATTTCAGCATGTCTATCAGACATTATCAGCATCAATCATACAAAGTAAAAGCAAGCTGATATTTCTTTTTATCCAATTTTTCTAAACAATATAAACTGCCTATTGAAACAATACTAGCAGTACCTATTACCATAAGGTGATGAAAGAGGATTTATTATTGTAAAAAAAAAAAAAAAAAACACCTGCTGACAATGATTTAACAATAACATTAATAATAACAATAAAAAAAACAAATCTGTGTAAACATACCAAAAAAAAGACAATTCTATTTAACTTCTTCCACACACCAACAGTAAACATGGATTTTGTCATGTTTGTTGTGAGTAAAGCACAATTTCCAGCTGCACAGTTCACATCATATAAAGCACATTAAAAGTAAATGTTTGCATTAAAAAAAATACATTTCTTTTCCATTCTGGCCAAGTGTTAGCTAACAATTGCACAACAATTGTAACATGTTCTGATGGCATAAATTAGTAAACAATAAAAAATGTGGTAAAACTGTTCATTAAATGTAAAATTACCATACAAACTGTTTTGAACTGGAGATGTCAAGCATATAGCATCCTCTACAATTACTGTCACCCAGGATGAAGATGCAATATATGTGTTGCTTTTTGGTTTTTGATTTTGAGAAAAAGAAGAAAATCTAATGGAGCTCTAGCAAGTAATTGGCAGGAAACTGTTGGACAATTTTCAACTTGATCGTCTCTGACCAGCCAGAAATGGTAAGAAAAATGTTGTTACTTTTCAGATAACTGGAAGCACCAGATGTTAGGTCAAGGCAATAAAACCTTTTCCATGTGGGACGCTGTTGATATAAGAAGAATGCTCAAACTTAGCTATTTTCAAAAACAGCACTGTGTTTAAAATATAAACCTGAGGAAGCGGAAATGTAAAAGGTTGTATTTGCTACAACTTGTCAAGAAATGTCTGCAGTTCCTTCAGGCTACGAAAGAGTGAGCGACAGCAAGACGTTCAGCGTAAGAAAAGAGAGGTTCAGCAGTGCACAGCAAGGGCTGTCCCACATACAGTGTGACATAACCTCTGCTTAAAAAAAGTGAAAGTTAGAAAAACTATTGAATGCTATTATAAATTATTTTATAATTCTTAAATAACATTGAAATTTGCTAAAATTAGTGTCTGTGAAGCTTTTTGTAAAGTTGGGTCAGAAAATGGAAATCAGATACCAAAAGACAAAAAAAAAAATATAATAATCAGTTGTTATTGTCATAGCTACAATTCCAAAATATGTTTTGTTTGTTTGAATAGTCAAAAGTGATGCAAACTGTGAATTTTCAACGCATATGTCTACAGCAGATTAGAGGGTTAAGTAATTAAATCAGTAATTATTAACTTACTGTTTTGTTCATGCTCTTTTTTTTCAAAGTCGGTCTTTAAAGTGGGGGAAACAAAAGAATGTTTCATTTAAGTAAGTTAGGTGTGTGCTCATATCAGAAAATGGCAACAGGACAATAGATAACCTCCCAGAAAGCTTAAAACAACTTCAACATACAAACAAGGGTGGATGCAGACAGAACCAACAGTAAGGAAGAAGAAAAACAAATTTCAAAGCTTATGGTTAGACAACCGCAACAAAGAATGTAATCACAGTTTCTCCATGTTAACAATCCTTCCATTTGAGAGTTTTGAACACATCTTCACCAGAGATGCCAATAACTACAGAGTTGCTAAATTCTTGCAGGGTATCTCACTTTCAAATTTATGAGAACCAAGGCATCCAAATAACATAAGGAATATGAAAAAAAAATCTAAGTTTTATGATAATTAACTTTTTAGTAATTTATTTCAGAGCAGTGTTTGGGTCTCCATGACCAATCACTCGCTTAGACCAATCATAAGCTTAGAATCTGTAAACAACAGAGTATGAAGCTTTCCACTGGATCACCCAATATGATGGGACCATTTCTAATCACCACACGTGTCTTCTTTTGTTTTATATTAATGTAAAAACAGAAAACATACAGTATATAATCAGGTATCTCTGATAGATATTGACTGACTGACATGTAGGTTGCAGCAGAAATAAGAAGGGCTGATTTATTTCTCGCTGATTGCTTTATAGTTCAGTCGAAGCTTCCAGCGGAATTTGGAAGTTTGCAATTAAAAGTCCTTAAACTGATCATTTATAGGGATAAATGTAAATAACCACACAGCATTTTAAGCAACAGGTATCCATTTGTATGTTTGCTGTATGTCTGCATTAAACCAGGCAGATGGAGACGCAGTTAAGCTTGTTCTTAGTAATGCAAGTCTGACAAACTGCAACCTCTGCTGTACTTCTTTATGTTAAGGCCGGATTAGTAGAGTAACCCAATGCTTCTGCGCCACTTCACCATGTTTGGACAAGGCTTAGAGTAGTAACTCGGCAGGATCAGATAGCCACTGCCACCCGAAACCACTTGCCTCCTCAGTGTTTACATCCCCAGTAACAAGTCTTAGCAGAGCTGAACAGCTCAGTGTTTACTTTGGTCGGCTCTCCTTTTGCAGAATTAAAACATATTGTCAAGAATCCATCGCTACAGGGGCGCTTTAGTTTTTGAAGGCCCCGTAGCGGCTTGCCTTACTAATGAAGTTCTTGAGCAGGTCATGATCCATGTCTGCAAAAGCCTGGGTCTGAGTGACAGCCGTTAGATGGTTGACACAAAACTTGAAGCAGAACTCCTCCAGGTCCTAAAAACGAAGAGGGCTATGTGGTGAGTGCTGAGGAGTATGAGTGACTAGAGGCTACTGTGCAGGACCCCCCTGCCAACGCACTGCAGTGATCTTACCCGAGCCTCATACTTGACGGCGGCAGAAAGCAGAGTGATGGCGTTCTCTTCAGAAATGCCCCGCTTGATAGTTTCCTGACACAATCTTTTGAGCCTCGTCTCTCGGTAAAACGTTGCCAAGTCAAGCAACCCTGCAAACAGGAGAAACGAATCCACAGCATCTGAGTATATTTACAGCTACTTCTGTTTAAGAAATTTTATGACACCATTGACAATTTTGTGAATTTTACAGGGATTAATTGTGAAATAGAAGAAAATTAATAGAAATCTCTTTTCCAATTAAAATTTTTTAACTGCATTTGTATGTAGCCCTATTTACTATGATACCCTTAATTAAAGTCCACAATGCCCTTTAGAAGTTTCTTAATTAGTACATAACATCCAGATGTGTATAACTTTTTAAGCCAGATTCTGTGGCACATTTCACAGGAAATGAGCAGAAGACACAGGGGGCAAATATCAAAGGTTTCAAGGTCAGGAATCAGACCCTGACAGCTGCATCAAGGATCAACAGATAGACTTGGCGTCTCCACCTGTGTGTAATTTAATCTCTGAATAACTACAGCCGTTTAGTGGAAAACTGACATTTGGCTTAAAAACAAACAAGCATTAAACATACTTTTCACTAAGGCCACAGTTCCGAGTTAAAAATGTTTTTATGGTAATACTCTAAATCTTAACTGTTGTGTTTTCATTAGCTGTAAGCAGAAAATCATCATAACTACAAAGAAAAATTAAAAGTTTGAATACAACAGTCTGTGCCAACTAAAGAGTTAGTTGCGCTAACCCTGAAGCACTAATCATAATTAGCTTCACATTAGTTTCACTAATGCTAAAGCTACATTAGCAGCATGTAATGTTTCAGTTGTTGACTGTGTGTTCCATGACTTTGTATTTTTGTGTTTTTATGATGTTAAGCAGTCTGAAATGCCTTGTTGCTGAAATGTTCTATACCAATAAAATTTGATTTGATCTTAATTTGATTTAAAGTGCTACACCAACAAGGTATTTAGTGGAAGCAAAAGCAGAAGAGATAAATTTTGTTCCTGTATTTTTTCTTGTTTGAAATAAAGTTATTGGGGTAGTGGTGGGTGGAGGTTCAGGGGAAGGGAAAGAAAGTGAGGAGACGAAGCAGAACTGCTGCCTAAGCAGTCTTCACCTATTTCAAAATCCTAAATAGTCGATGACCACAACTTCAACACAGATAAAAAAACCTTACTCAACTGAAAGCCCAACTAAATCTGTGCTTCAGAATTTATCAGTAAAAATGATATAACAAAAAAGCTAAGTGCACTAAATGTTTTCAAAGTTTGCAGAAATGCTAAAGCACAAAACAAGATGTTAGCACATTAGCGGCAGTGTGCACATAACTTCTAAAAATGTAATTACTTACCAAGTTTTGTAAACTTTTATGTATATTTTTTTTCTTTTAAATAACCAGAATTACATTTGTCTTTTTGGTTTTAGATAAAATAATGTTATTTTGTAATGGAACCTAAAGAAAATTTATCAAAAACACTATGTGCCAACTCTTAAAATATTTTTCATACCATTGTAATTCTAATGCAAAAACAAGCAAATATTGCTCAGAAGCATGTAATGAAAAACATGTTATTTTGCTAATTTCAATTTAATTTTTGACTAATGTTAATAAAACTCGTGTGGAGGGCCTATGAAGCCGCATGAAGCTCCAGATTCACACGGTGTAGTCTTCTAGTTCTTAATTTACAACCGACATGAAACACAAAGGGTTTGTGGTTGCAAGGTGGCAAAATCTAAATGAATTCAAGAGGTGTATATATCATCACAATCTGGTATTAGACCACATCTGTCTACGTTTATGCTTACCAATAGCATCCTCTGGTGGCAGGTTAATATTGTCTGTATAGAGATACTCCAGGAAGGCTCTGTACACTAAATATGAGAACTGGTGAATTTCTATAACATCTTCATCTGTTTCATTCAACAAAGTACGGAAATGCTCACACCTAAAGAGGGGGAAAGAAGAACAGACTGCTGTTATGACAGGAAGAAAGATAACAGAGCAGTAGCTGAGCATTTGTTTCCTTATCCGTTACAAATTACATAAACATAGCTGCTGTTCATGAGTCAATGCTCAGTCTGATTATTCACAAGATTCCAGTGTGCCTCAAGATCAAACCAATTCCTAGACTTCAAAAGACCAAATACAAAAGGGATCACAGCTGGGCGCGAGGCATTCAGAAGCCTAAAGGACAACAAGGTTGAATCAGATGGAAAAAAAAAAAAAAAAAAATGGAAAAAAAAAAAAAAAAAACATGGCAGTACTGGAGGAGTTATAGTAGGAAAGATAGAAATGAGATGAGACTGAAGATGCAGAAAATTAAGGAAAGACAGCTAAAATGTAAAACAGGAAAGCATGCCACACCCAAAGTGAATGATTCTACATTTTCAGTGTAGTTTCAGTGACTCTGAAACTCTTTAGATTTGGTTTAACAAAAGGAAAAAATGTCTGGACTATTTGAGAATTGCATCAAGAGGAATAGTCTGCTTAGATTTAGTCAAATGCAGCAAACATGATAAAACAGCAAGTGGACCATGATAACATCCTCTGTGAAAAAGCAAGGAGGAAGTGGCAAGCAAGCACACAGACACTACACCACACTAAAAACAAAACACTTTACTATTTTGAAGACTAATTAACTGGATGCAATCGTGCACAACTGTTTCTGTCTTGCTGCGATAAAACTACAGGCTGGCAATATAAATGTCGAGACACACCTAGTAATTTCAGAATCTGAAACATTTTTTTACATCAGTCTGCTTTTTTTTTTGGGGGGGGGGGGGGTTATCTTCAAATACTCAGTTATAAAGCGATTTGGAGACATAACCCGTCATCCCAGCATGATTTGTCACTTTTAAAGCTCCAAGTAATGCCTAATTGGTTCAGAAGCTGGAGTTTTCTCTTAATTAAAACAGTAAAAAACACAAAACATTTTGCTCCGGGACTTAAATCCATTCTACATCGGCTCAGCTGGCTATTGAAGGGAACACAACTGCAAAATCATGCAAAAATAAATGCAAATTTCTCTTAACTGATGAACTTGACTGGCTGTTAGTGTCTGCATTTAGTGCAATCTGATTCGAGAATCTAATGATAAAATAAAGCAAACAGGATATGAAAAACAGCGGCAAAGATTTGCTTGATGTTACACTGGACTGTTTACTGCAGTCAAGTCACATTTCTCTACGTAACTTGAAAGAAAAATTCTAAATTGCAACAACTTTGTTATTGATACAACAAAGCAGTCAGTTTGCTGCTCATTGAAAAATGAAACAACTTTGTTTCTGATGGAAATATTAGGGCTGCACATTTCTGGAAAATGTTGCAGTATCAAAATCTTATCATGAATGTTCTGAATATAGATATTGTGACAAAGATACTAATAATTTTGTCACTGTTACAGCATTGAGGCATATTTCTTGACTCTAGCATTTTGTATTCAATATGCCTGTTGTTGCTTACCATTTATCATTAACACTTATAAAGGTTTTCAACAATTATCTTGTTCCTAATAAACTGATCAAGTTTAATGAATGGATAATTAATAATATGCACAAAAATATTGAAAGCATGTTCTTTTGATGCGATGAAACAAATCAATAATATCAAAATAGCATGAGATGTGCTTTAAGCTATGCTGAATAACGCCTGACTGGGGGATTAAAACTCAAGCCGTGTGCGAGAATCAAATGAGCCAACAGACAAGAGATCCTCTCATGTTTGCTATAAAATGGTGGAAATCGTCCTCATAGCTCAGATAGAAACTATATTCAGTATATTCTGAGCTTTGGTCTGCTGGGGGAGCAGCAGCAGTGTCAATAACTTCTCTCATAAACCTGGAAGAATCACGGGATTCAGCCTGGAGACGTCTGTGCCAGGAAGGAACGTGACATTACCAAATAAACAATCCATCACATCTGCTCCATGACGCACAGCAGGGACAGCCGAGCTCGATCCAACATCGCCGCCGTCATAAAGAACATACTTCAGGAAATAATTTCTACAATTCAAAGCAACAGATTGCCTCTGTGTAGCAGGTGGGCACATCATTTCACTTTCCATCAAATGCACTGTTATAGCAAACATGCCATCAATAGTATATTTACTGTTTGGTTTTGAATGTGTGATGATTTTTTGGTTTACACAGCTGTCTTTGCAAAGGTTTATTGAGAGTTCATAAACCTGAGATCAAAGAAAAATGATCTAATATTTAGTTTGCACGATGAAAAGCATGCAATGTAAGTTTGCCTTTAGAATTGTTTTTGTCTTTGTATTTTCAAAGAACGTAGAAAGTAGGGGTTCACCAAAAAGTGGATTGACTAATAAATTGACCCGATTTCCATAATTTTGGGAGATCAACCAATACTTGCATAAAAAAAACTGATCTTATCTATCTGTGCAAAAGTCTGAAAATCAGCCACTCTACCATTTTGTTTTGCTGTGTTAGATGGCTGACTGACCGACCAAACAATAGCCACCCCACTGTTACCAATTTAGCAATTTTGTCACTATATCTAGCAACAAAAATTGCTATTGGACAAAATTGGAATCTGCAGGTCAGGCTTTTTAAAAATTGGTAACCAGAAAGCTCCAATCGGTGCAATCTTAGCATGACATCTTTGGATGAAATAACTTGCTATATTTTTCAACCTGTTATGATACTTTAGACACTTTTTTGTCTCTTAGCTGCCCCCTTCGCTATCAGCATCTGTGGTCATAAACACAGCTGCTGTCATTGCTTCCTAGGGACACAGGAGAACAATCAACAGACTCCTCGTCTCTAAAGTGTCTTTAACATGTTAGCATGAGATATGGTCAAAGTAGAGGTTTTGCGCCCCAGGCATTATTTGTGTGAGTGTGTGCACTTTGTTGACTGTGCAGACAGTCCGGCTCCTTCCTCCTGACAGTGCAAAAGAGCAAGGGACTGGAATGCACACACTGTGTTTTTCAAGTGTGGTTATAAAAAGAAACAGGGGAAACAATAGGCTGCTCTCCGCTTCCCTTTTACTGAGAGGGAACACTGTCCAGCAAATACCGTTCAAGTACAGGAGTTCATGCTCAATTTGTTTTCATAGAATGTGTGCTCTGCTTTCTTTGTTGGTATTATCTATGTAGAATGATCTAACAATCAGTAATATCCAACAACATTTCTAACAAGAAGAAAACATCTGAACCCTCATGTGACAAGAACAAATCCCGGGACAGAGGACAAAAGGAAACAAAACGTGTGAAAACAAAACAACCATTAATCAAACGACCGTTTATTTTTTCCTACCTGATCTTTAGAAGAGCTTTGTGAACATAGATGCACTTCCCATCGACTAAGAACTTAAGGTCAGAAATCTCTGGACTGTCAAACTCCTTCTTCAAAGACTGGGCAACTGTCAGATAGTCATCTCCATCTGGCAAAAAAAACCACAGGTTATCTTTAATGTTTTTATCTGTATTTTAAAGTCCCATCTAACTTGGTGACTACACACTGCCAGAATTATCTATGATTCTCCAACCGTAAGCTTTCAACATTTTTTTTTATCTTCTCTCCCATTGTTGCTCATTTTGAGTGAAGGCAAAATAAAATATGGGTTCTTGTCCAGGATCGTTTCTCACAGTTCTAGATTTTGGAAGTTAAAACCGGGTCCGTTTGGGCCAGAAGCTATTTACTCAAACACCTTTAGTACAATGTTTTCCCATTTTTCCTTTTAGAAGAATGGGATAAACAGACTCTAGTGTCACATCAAGCCAATGTCTTTGCAAAACAGGAAGGTATGGCTAATAAAAACATTTCTGTGATTGTGATTAACTTAAAAAGCACAAATTTCCATTTTGCATCAGTTATAATTGTTATTATAACTTATATTAATTATAATATTAAGTCAATTATTTTTTTCTAAAAAAGAAATTCTGTATGAAATTATGCTGCTGTAAACTATGAATTGATTTGTAAGGGCTTGCACACAATATTGGGGCTGAATGGGTAATAAAATAAAAACTGCACATGAAAATAATAGTAAACCCTGCTCAGATGAGAGCGTATTTGTAATTTAACATTAGCTTCACAAAATGGGCCGTAAACTGAAAGTAACACTGTTGAAAACAGAGTTCATAAACACTTGTTTGACACTGTGAGGAAGCAGGATTTCCTGTTTATTTCTTAGGCCACTTCCAGGAATTTGTACTTATGACACAAAAACATGTGCCTCCTGAATGAGTATCTCTAACAGGTCAAAGGTTAAAGATAACTATGGCAGCAATTTGAAGTATTCAACAAATACCCCTTAATTATTGAGGAGTACTAGTACCCGGCAGACCCCTTCTTCTAAAAAGGTCAAGAGGGGAAATATGGCAATGAGAACAATTTTAAGTATTCAGTTAAATCCCTGAATTATTAAGAACTGTGGACATCTGGGAGCCTGTTTGTTTTTTTTTAACAATCTTTCTGTTTCTGCACGAGTCTTACCCACTGAGAGAAGGTGCCACGTGACGGCTGGCGTGGCGAAGCAGGCAAACACGTCATCAGTGCTGCTGAAGTGGGTAAGATGGGGGCTGGACACGGCCTGACCTCGACACTGACCCCACATCAGAACTTGCCCGCTCTGCGTCTTAGCAGCTGAAGTGTGGCTGGTGTGACAGGCAGCTACCTCCACCATCCTGGGCAGAAAATCTCAATTCAAACCCAGTTCAGCCTTCTAACATAAGGAGAACAAGTCTAAGCTACAGTGCCCTGCAAAAGTGCTCATAAACTTTAAATTTACTTTTTTTTTATTTTGCATTATAGCCACAAGCTCTATTATTCCATGACATTCCTAAACATTAGGAAGGTTATATGTTCATAATCCACCGCAATTTTTCATAAGGCCCAGAAAGTTCATGCTACAATATATTTCGTAGAAGTCAGATTTTATTTGAACATCCAGTTAATGACTGTCTTGTCAACAAATTCTCCCACATGGGCTGGGGATGTCTGCAGCTGTATCAGAGTAAACAATGGACACCTTGATTGCTTCTGTTATTAATTCCCTCCTTGCCTGGCCGCTTATGTGGACGGTCATGTCTTGGTGGGTTTGACTTCTGAATGAAATAAATTCACTCAGACACAAATTTCTGGATTTTATTTATTAAAAGAGGACTGAATGCAAGTTCATGGAATTGCATGCCACACTTTTCAGACTAAATTTGATTTGATTTTGTGTTTTCACAATTACAGACAACATAGTTTTTGTCTACTACATAAAACTCAATTGGGACACTTAAATTTTTGTTTTTATAACATGACAAAATGTTACAAATTTCAGTGGGCATGGATACTTCCGCAAGGCACTATAAGGACAATTTTACAGGTAAAAATAATTTGCTTGGAGTCAATAACCCTCATTTATATGGAGGCTCCAGTAAGCTGGTGTGATTACTTAACAACACAGTGCAAACAATTTACTAACCTTTCCTTGTCTGTATTTATTAGGATGGGAAGCGCTTGGTTACTTTTATTGCCTGTTCCCAGCTGTCCATAGGAGTTGGCTCCCCACGCATAAACAAATCCCTCATCCGTAAGTGCCAACGTGTGTGCATATCCACATGCCACCTACATTTGGAAGTGAACAATACATTCATGAAAAATATAAAAAATAGTTTTATGAAAGTTTCTGACACTGTGGATTCTTACCTGCACAATGTTGACACCTTGCAGAGCAGCGATCCTGCATGGAGTCTGCTGATTTCCGTTGTTTCCCAAACCCAGCTGCCCATTGCAGTTGTAGCCCCAACCGTAAATCTACAGAACACACATATGAGGTGTATTATAAAATAATCTCAAAACCATATTATAAAATACTGTAAAAATGATGGGCAAACAGAACATGCAAGAATACTGGATTGATTTTAAAGAAATGGCAAAAAGCACCAGTCTATCTTTCAGAAAGAGTCTACTAGATATACATTTTCCTTATAGTTATGTACATAAAAGTAACATCTTTTCAGAACAGTACCCTCTTATTTCCCCTTTGTGTTCATGTTCCTTTTTTGTTTTGTTTTGTTGATATAAATGGAAATGGTAAAGTGAAGAAATGTAATTGATCACAGACTGGAACTGTGAACTAGAGGTGATAATAAGCTCTTGTAATCTTCTCAATGTTTCAAAACCAAAGAAAAAAAAAAAAAAAAAAGATCTGTCCTCATATGAGTATCAGCCAATCGCAGACCACCCAAAATTGAGAAAATCTGGTCCAATATATTGATTGGATGATTTATTGGTCCATCCCTAATGTTTACACGTCAACAGCTGGCACAGATACAACCCAAAACAAAAAAAAATTGATTATACACTACCACTTTACAGTTTAGTTGGTCTGTTACATGAAATTACAACAACACAACTTTAAGTTTGTGGTTTATGAGGTATCAATACATAGGACACACTAGTGTGAAGGTGTTATTCTCATATAAAAGCAGCACATTATGGTACCTCTCCATTATCCAGGACGGCCATCGAGCAGAGCTGGCCACAGGCTATGTTGACCACCACTTTGTTCTGCAGACAGCTGCTAACCCGACGTGGTGTTGGTTGATTGGCAGTCGACCCAGATCCAACTTGGCCCGAGTTGTTGTAGCCCCACGCATACACCTGGTCACAGATGAAAAAAAAAAGTCCACAGTCCCAAAAAAATACAGGCTAAAGATGGACAACAACAAGTGAGCAGACAAGAAGGGAAGACTTACCTCTCCATCACTTGTGAGAGCGATGGTGTGGTGGGAGCCACAGGCCACTTCTGTCACCCTCTTGCTGATGAGGTTGGTGGAGACCAGGGCAGGGGTTAGACCATGGTTGGTGGTCCCATTTCCCAACTGGCTGTAGCCATTGTGACCCCAGGCAAACACCTCCCCGTCTACACAGCAGCAGGAAAACTTGTATTTATGTTGTCAAAGTGGTTAATATTTTAAAAACACAAGATAAGAAGTAATCCAAGTCAAATGATTTATAGCTGAGGTCTGGCAGTGTACCCAACATATGCAGCCGATAAAATCAGATTAATAGAGCTCGAAACCCATTAGCTAGAAAGAGAAGTTTAAGACACTTTTCATAGAGAATAACAAATCATGAGAATAAAAGAAAAACACATACATACATACAAACATACACACAACAATCTTGTCTTGTAATTCAGATTTATGTTACTTTAAATGGAAAACAAAATTAACTATTTCAATGCGATTTAATTTGGCTTAATAAATAACTGCACCTTAATATAGTGATAAATTTAAAACATTTAGAAGGAATTGGTAGTACAAACAATGCAATGTTAAACTATTCATACCCCATGACTCTCATTGCATCTTCTCTCACTACAAATATTAACTTTAAAGTGATTTTTTACTTGATGGACAAACACAAATAGGGCAAATTTGTGAACTGAAACAAAAGACACGGCATTTTTGTATTTCTAATTTTTTTAACTGATAAAAAAATGTGAGAACTTTGATGTGCATTTTGTATTAAGCATCCTTTACTATGATTATGGGAGACAGGCAAGAAAGTAATCGTTAAAAGAAAGCCATACGATGCTAAATGCACAGCACATTGCTCTAAACATAATTCCCATGGTGAAACCTGGTGGTGGCAGTACTATGTTATGTTTTGACTAGAAATTTCTTCAGCAGTACAAGGAATCTGGTCAGAGTAAACCTGCAAAAAAAAGCATGTCTGAGGCTTTAACCCTGCCGCTTCCCTGCTGTCCGACCGTGACATCTGCAGTGCTCATCCTGAGCATCACGCTGCGGGACTGAACATCCTTTAACATAAACTCCATAAGATACAATGAAAAAGATTTATGTGAAGTTATGCTTATGTGTTGGAATGGTCCGGTCAAAGTCCAGAAATCAAACCAACTGAGAATCAGTGGCAAGATTGAAAAATGCCGTTTACAAACACATAATGCAATCAAAATGAGTTTGACCAAAATTTGGCAAAGAAGAGTGGTTAAAACAAATCAATCTCTAAATGTTCTAAGCTGGTAGAGACAGATCCACAAGACTTGAAAGTGCAATTTTACTTCACAAATAATCACTGTGGTAAAAATTTGACAAATATCAATATGAATACTTTTGCAAGTCACTGTAAAAACATGTGTTGTTATTTGTTTTGGCTTCCATTCCTCTACCTGCCGTTACAATTTCACCTGGAGGTCAAATAAAGATTTTCTGAAGTATTGTGTTGCGAACTGATTACCTGCAGTGGCGATAACCACATGCGGTCCTGTACCATAGCTCAGGGACACAATCTTCTTTCCGCACAGGATATCAATCCTGCGCGGCTCAATAGTGCTTTGAAGGTCTCCGAGGCCTAAGCAGCCACTACAGTTGGTGCCTAAGGCAAAGACCTGCAAACACCAAACATCACAGCTCAAGTCATGCTGATGCAAAGAAATTGTACATATATACCACATATTACTACTATAATACTGACTGAGACTGAAAGGTCTTTGATCTTGAAATGATTTTTTTTGTATGCAATAAGAATCAATAAGTATTTAATTAAAATAAAAACCTATTATTATTGTTATTGTTATGTCCTACAGCTACAGTAAAATTATCATAATATCCTTATTTTTTTATTGGCATACTTATATTATTGTTATTATCATTATCAGTAATAATACTAATATGTTGCAACTGCATGGAAATTACAAACATAAATTATATCAGGGTTTACGTATTTTGTTATGCATTTTGTTGGGATAGCCATTATTCAGCTTATTGTTATCAATAAAGAGAAGGAATTGCAGCAATTGGTCTAGGTCCTTAGATAGAGTTTCTGCAGGTTTCATCAACTCTAATTTAAGACAAATTTATGAATAAATTTAAGAAAGAGTAATGGTATTAATTGTTTGATTAACAAAAGATATTGTGACGTTCTTATTTTAGTTAAAGACAGTTACTGTTCCTTTTAATATTTTCCCTTTATCCACATTTGTGTATTAGCAGCTAGTTAGTGGTAGCCTCAAAACACTGAACACAATGAAGTTTTGACAGAAAAGTTCTACTAGAAGAAGAGTACATAGAATGTACGAGATTAAATAATAACTTAGTTCAAACTATAAAATGATCTTTGCATCTTTGCATTACTATTATTATTATTTTATCATTATTACTATTATCATCATTATTATTATTACTACATCCAATAACCTTTAAGGGACATGTTTACTAGGGAATAATAATAATGTAAACCTGCCACCAAAGAAATATTACCATTGACAGGACAAATGTCTGCTTGCTTGAAACTGTTACCTGTTTAGTCCACTTGTAGGAATGAATAAACATGGATGCACAGATGGTTAAATATAGAGCATGCTGGGGTATTAGGCCAATATGGCTAAAGATAGTCTCATTCTATCTGCTTATCTCTCTGCCGAGAACTGCCCCTCGTCTCAACCTGAGAATCAAGATCCTATAGCATTGTTTTTCCCCTTCTGTTGACACGAAAAAGAAACCATCAAATCAATATCCTCAAAGTAGGTTAGGTCTATCAAATCAGGCCAGCACACCTCCGTCCAAACAGCAGGATTAAGGTGCCTTTGCTTAAAGACTGAGCCTTACCTCATCATTAACAGTAACGTAGAGAGCTTCGTTAGCAGCACTACCGAAGACACAAGCCTGGCGGATAAGCCGTAGTTCCTCAGGAGGAAGGAGTGCAAACACTGGCCACTTCCCCACGTCCAGCATGCTACTCAGCACAGCTGTGACAAGATAACACAGAGAAAACAGAGCATTTACGTAATTATGGTCCTTATAGTTTTTCATGATTTCAATTATTCAGAAAAAAAGCTGTCACCCTCTTACTTGTACATAAAACCTGGAGTTCATTCTATACCCTCTCCATTCAATATATGTACCGCTCCAATGCATTTCCCTGACTTCCTGAACAACATAGCAGATAACTACTACTTAAAATACAAGCATTTCTGTGGATCAAAAATAATCATTTGGATACTTGTGTAATAGTACTTTGGGAGGTGAAAAAAAGAGAGCACAATGGCTGATCAGAAAGTTTTTTAAAACATGCTAATATCAGTTTTCTACAAGTCCTGTCTTCCAGCTACAATTAACTACAAGATAACTTTGTTTCATACCACTGCTGAGTTAAGTTTGCATTCCACTAAGACGGTGAGAACATTGTGATCAATGTCTGAGTTATTATATTTACTAATTAAATAACCTTTTTTAAGATTAAGTTTTGATGGATGGATGGATGGATGGATGGATGGATGGATGGATACACAGACATATAGATAATTATTCTCTGATGTGGATGGATCGATGGACGAAATAAAAAAATGCTATGCCTTATTTTCTTAGTTTATTTTCTTTGTAAGAAAATAAACTCAACTGACAAAAACGATTACTATCAGTAATGTGTCAGTGAGTAGCATACCTGCTTACTAAAACGAGTTCCATTCTCAGTAGTTGAAAGTGTTATTGAATGTTTCAAAAGTATTAACAAATTTCTACAACATAATAGTACATTGTTGTCAGTGAAAAGCATACAGTAGAATGAGGCTGATCAAGCAATGTTCAACGCCAAAACAAAGTTCTTCAAACATCCTAACAAGGAAGTTTTAATGATAGGAATCGTTCTGCTGTCGCCTCATAAGTAATCATTTCAACCAGCATTTAGCATAAATTCAGACATCACCCATGGCACTAAGCATAAGGTTTGCCATCACTTCAAATGCTAAAAAACATGCAAATAAAGACACTCCGTCAAACAAGATAGCAACAATAAAGTTTGCACCAAAACACCACAGAGCTTAGCATAAAGAGCCCCGTAGTTACGGGAGGGTTTAAGCTGTTGACGTTACCTTGACAGTTGTTCCAGCTACTGTTTCCTCTTTAAAGTAGTTTTCTTATCAAAAGGAAAACTTAAACATTGCAGAGGGAATCATGTTGGCAGCGGCTGTTGGTTGTCATAGCTAGCTTTGGTGGCTACATCAACGTCCTGAAGAAAAGCAAAGCAGTCCAACAGTTTACTTCCTGTCGCCTGATGGTGGCTTCACGGAAACTCGGAGATAGGAACTTCGACAACAACGAGGCTACTGAACATACATAAGGTTGCACTATAAGTGATCTCTTGTTCATCTATGCACTGATTTAAAAATATTAACAGTTGTTAACTTATTTAAGTGTTCATGAATAAAACCCGCAGTGGCAATTTTCTGATGCTTGGGAAACTGCAGTGATTACACCAGTTTTCATCCGCATTGGTATTGGTATATAGTAGGTTATAATGACAAATATACTTTTGTATTTTTATAAATGTCCTTTTATATTTTGTAGTGGTTTATGTAACATAAATTTTAAGTTCTATTAAGTGCAATATACGTTGTGTGTGCATAATAATCTATATGAGAGGAGGGAGGTGTTGGTGCCTATCTTTTCATGTTTATTGATAGTGTGACCTGGGCAGCATGCACAGTATCAGCATTCAGAAAGACCCCAGGCTGCAATTTGACTGGTTAGTCAATTATTTAAACATGATACTTTATTCTTTTACTATGAGTTTGTTACAAAATATAATGTTGTGACTAATTTCAATATTGTGATTAAGGTCATTCTTTCAGGCATTCTAGAACTTTTTAAGAACAAATTTATGCCCTCTTCTGGTTTATTATTTTGATTATGATGGTTATCATTTTAAGATTGGTCTATATAGCTATTTTTGATTAACTATCTTGTTCAAAAACCTGTAAAACAATCAAAACCCTGAAATCTGTTATCTCGCTTCAGTCTTTTTAACTGATTTCAGTATTTTTGGCTATTGTTAGTTATCTGGTATACTGTTCTCTGTGTGCTTGCTGTATTTTAATTTCTTATAATTATACTAATTATAAAAAATAAAAAGATATCAAGCTGCAAGGCAGTAGAGCTCTCACTAAAATCAAATGCTAAACATCTTGTAAGGATATCATAATGTAAGTCATTAGTAATTGCTATATATTTATTAATCTGGACTGCTCACATTTATTTTAACTCTTCAGAAATAACAAGCTTCCTCCTGCACAGCTATGACTATGAAAGCTCTCTGCTCTCCTACTGAGTAGTGTGTTAAGGCGCACACTTTGGTTCCTGCTCCACTGAATAATTTTATTAGGCAAATTCAAAATGAGTCAGCCGCTGGAGGAAATCATAATAACCCACAAAAAATGTATGCTTTTGAGCGGTCAGATTTCTTTTAAAGGAATGGCTCATACTTGAAACACTGTTCGCATAAATCAGAAATGTTACAACTTACAGATTTTCTAAGGAATTTTCTAAGGAAAGTATAAATCCGACTGATATGATTACACAAAAATGTGCCAATGTGTCCCTTATGCCAGTCTACCTCACACTTTCTAAATCTGTATTTCCTTTTTTTTCCCCCACAAATGTACTACAACAATACTACAAACATAACTAAAAAGAGAACAGGTGATAGAATTTGAACATGGGATTATAGGTAAAGTATTTACCTAAAAGCCCATGTATTTGCTCAATATTTAATTAATCACAGAGAACAAGACTCTTCATTTTTTATTATTTCTAAATACGCTGATGTGTCCAGCAGGGGGAGTTCTAGATAATCTCATATTTGTGCGTGGTGGGAGTGTAAGACAATGCGCATATTTGTGAATATCTGACGCCTATTCAATATAAGTACAAAACAAAACTTGTCTCGGACTTTGTTTAGTTATAAAAAAAATATGGGGGGCCACGAAATACTGGCATTTCAGCTTTTTGCATTTCATACTTTTGAACCCATTTATATGCGTGAATACCCTTCTCTATGGGTGAAATATAAATATCTTACACATTGTAATAAACCAATCAGTCCCTTTATTTAGACAAAAAAATGGACGGACGATAGATAGATAGATAGATAGATAGATAGATAGATAGATAGATAGATAGATAGATAGATAGATAGATAGATAGATAGATAGATAGATAGATAGATATCCTGTGCTCCTGAAAACAAGCATCCATGATGATTCCACCACCATCTTTCATAATAGTTTTTCACCAATGTTTTTTCATGTTGGGTAACAATGCAGTTTTGGTCTCATTTGACCAGATCACCATCTTTAGCCTGATTCCTGTGTTCCCTATATGGCCTACAGTAAACTTTAAATGTGAATTTTATGCCTTTCTTCCTGTGACTCTTTCACAGAGGCATGGTTGTGGTGTGTGTGACTGTCAAATGTCTTGCCAATAGACCCTACCAGTTGAACTTTAGATCTCGAACAACAGGCCTCCTAACTGCTTTTAATACTCTCCTTCACCAGAATGTCATTTCAGGTGGATGACTACAGGTTTTCAGTTGTACCATACACTTTCTGTTTCCCCATTGAATGAGATTTGTGAGATCTACAAAGCTTTGAATACTGTTTTATAACCTGACCCTGTTAACTTCTTTGCAACTTTATCCGTGCCCTGTCTGTCCTCATTGGTTTGCATATTATTGTTTATTCTGTAAGGTTCTCTTAACAAATCTCTGAGGTCTTTTATGAATAGGATCTTTTGTGTTGAAAATAAGCACATATTTGTTAGAATTGATTTTATTTAGGGGCATCTAATTAAAATGGGCTGAGGAATGTGCATCACTTTTTTTGTAACCCCTCCCCCCACTTATCCATTTTGTTCAACAAAAGATCACTCTGTCTTCATAAAATTCCTATAAAATTTATTGCAGCTTGTGATTGTAACAACCAAATTATTAGAGTTCAAATAATACTTTTTCTTAAGCAGTCTAACATATATTACTGTTTTAACCTTTTACTTTTTGTAAATTTAGAACCTTACACATAACCTGAATGAAGTTTGTGTGGGAACTGAGTATTTAGATTAGATTAAGATTTTTAAGAAAGCATACGCTGTTTAGTTATTATACAGCAGAGAGTTACAAATGCAAATCAAAATAAAAGCTATCTCCCTTTGCACACATTTGTTTGTCTGTGGCTGACTCGGACGAACCGCTCTAAGACACGTCAACCATATCGTCCCCCTTAAAATCAACAGAAAATTGCGCAAACAAACGAGGTTCATGAATTTCAGCACAAATTTACCCCACACACGCCTACGAAGGTAGTTAACCCCTGTATGACAACCTTGTGCATATTTTCTTTTCGTTATCTTGGAATTAAAGGGGATTCGTCAGAGTTACTCGGACGCGCATGCGCGCTAAGCTCCAGCAAGCAAAATTCCTGCTTTTTATTATTCGTGGAGCAAGGCTGCGGATGGAAAGTTATCTCGATAAAACTGCCAGCTACGGTTTGTCGTCGTTGACTGGTTAGCCCTGATCTGATTAGGGCGCAGTTAGCACAGAGACGCCGTCGCTTACACGACGAGAAAAAAAGCACATCATCATCATCTCGCGAACTATTTTGCTAGGTAGCATTAGGTAGCTAATGCTAGCATGACACATTTTGCCTTTTCCTGTGTTTATCCAGGTAGCTAGCGAGGTCTCAGTCTCAGGTGTCGCAGAAGGTAGCTGGAGCTTGTAGCCTACTGACATTTAAAGGTTCCCAGGAAGAGCTTGTGTTGGAAACATCATTGTGCATCGGCGTGTCAGTCAAGACTGCTGCTGCTGTGCCAACTGACTGAGTGAGTAACATTAGCTGTAACATTCCCCACTTCTGCTGCGACAGTCAATAATGTATGAACCCCTCCCGTTTATTAAAGAAACTCTAAATTCACCGTAAGGTCATTATGTGTCAGTGTGCTGACTGAAAGGTTATGTTAGAGTTGGATAATAGATAGCGATGACATAACGCTAAGTAGACACCTGTAGCCACTTCAGTTAGCTGCACGGTGGCTGCTGAACTTAGCTAACAAAATAAGCACAGACCCTGAATATTGTTAATAGTGTTTTTATGACGTTTATGTTGATTAAAGATATTGTAGAGTCACACAGAGAAGGTGTTGGCAAAGAGAGCAAAACAACAAGCCTATATAATGGGTTCCCTGAATTGATGGCCAGCTGTTACATGTCTGCAGAACACATGATTTCCAGGTGTTGTAGCAGAACTTCAGCTTTAGGTTTGGGTTTCAGAAGAACTTTAAACAAACTCGAGGCAGTTTTTAGCTGAGTCGTATGCCTTTATATTTGAGTTAGTCGTGGAGCACTTTTGGCATTGCTATTGTGCAGTTTAACAGACTGGGATGAGCTAAAGTATTACATTAAGATGAGCTTAAACAGCGTTGAAAAAGATGTTTTTTTTACATGGTTGAAGGATTGGTTTCTGTTGGGTGAGTTGATCTATCTTTATAGGTTTGATAGCATCGTTTTAGTTTTAAAAACGAGTTATTTACAGGATGATTCACACAACATTAAAGTGAAACCAAGACTATGTCAAGATGGGGGTTTAAAGACCTAAAGGAGTCTTAGTGTTTTTCATTTGACTTAATTCATACACCTTTGTTAATGTAGGATTTAATATAATATTAAATTAAAACAAACAGCCACATTGCTTTCATTTATTTTTAAATGAAATATAGTTGAATTGTAAGGCTAGTGTTCTGTTTATTTAAACTATCTGTAAATCATGTGGCATATCCATGCCTTTTAAGTCACCTTATTTTTTGAAACATACATAATGGAAGACATTATCTTGCCACAGACCTTTTAAGTTTAATTGATAAATTGAACTTGTGTTTGAACTTGTGTTTGAAAAATGTTTTTCACATGAATTCAAAGAAATTGATCACAAAGTTCTGGTACGGTCACATCCTTCTTTTAGGATTCACTAAATCAAATAAAAAGATGCTCTTTAAGGGGGGGAGTAGCTACTAATGTTGGCATAAATCAAGGAAATTGTCCACAAGCTACAGCCAGAGATTTGCTAATAGTTGCATATGTATCTATAATTACAGGACTCAGTAGAATTCATTGCTGCAAAATTAAAAAGTACTTACATTTCTGTAAACAAAAAAAAAACAAACAGATTTTTTAGAATATTAAATTAACCATCAGGCAAGTTTGTGTGTGATGGTTAAAGTCAAAACAGCTACATTGTTG